TATTGCTGAGTTTTTGCTTAGGTGTTTTGTTTTTATTTCTCTGTTATGAATAATTTTTTCTCCATTATATTTTTCTAGCTGATTATTGCTGGGAAGCTATAGATTTGGGGGCATATTTATTGGTATGTGATTTGAACAATTTCTAGTGTTCTTAATTGTTCAGCAGACTCTGGCCTGGCCCTGTGAAGTAGACTTTTCTAAATCTATGCTCTCTAGTACTAGTCACAGGTGGGTGACTCCTGAGCACTTGAAATGTGGCCATCACAATCAAGGAATCCAACCTTTTATTTACTTTAATTTTAATTTGGACTTCAATAGCCCTGTGTGGTCAGTAGCAAACATATTCATAGTGCAGGCTCAGAATTTTAAATTAGAGAATCATTCTTATGGGCAAATAGTTTCTCATATTTCTGCGTGTCTTTTTTTGTTGTTGTTAACCCTTACCCAAGGGTATTTTTTCCATTGCTTTTCAGAGAGAGTGGAAGGGGGAGAGAGAGAGAGAAACATCAATGTGAGAGAGACACATCAATTGGTTGCCTTCCTCATGTGCCCCGACTGGGGCGGAGGATTGAATTTGTAACCCAGGTACGTGCCCTTGACCAGAAATTGAACTCGAGACCCTTTGGTCCATGGGCCAGTGCTCTAACCATTGAGCAAAACCAGCTAGGGCTTCCATTGATTTTTAGAGTGAGGGGAAGGGAGGGAGGGGGAGAGAGAGAGAGAAAGAAACATTGATGTAAGAGAGACACATCTACTGGTTGCCTCCTGCATGTGCCCTGACCGGGGCAGAAGACTGAACCTGCAACCCAGGTACATGCCCTTGACCGGGAATTGAACCCAAGACCCTTCAGCTTGTGTGCCAATGCTCTAATCACTGAGCCTAACCAGCCAGGGCTATTTCTGCCTCTTATATTTTTCCGTTCTTACTGCATTTCTGACCCCCAGGGCATTGCTCAATCACAGGGGTGACAGCAAGCAGTTTCAATGCTTTTACAGTTACATGTGAGCCTCGAGATTGGTTTCCCACAAATTCTCATTAACAAGGTATGGAACCTTCTTTCTATTCCTTGTTTACTCAGCTTTCAGGAATTGTGGGTGTGGGATATTATAAAGCGCTTTTCTGTATTTGGGCTTATTTGATCTGATGACTGTATAGAAAGTTTATATGGTTGTCAGCTATCACAGCCCAGTTTTAGAGCACCCATCACCCCAAAAGATCACCACTTCCATCCCAAACCCCAGGCAATTGCTGATCTATCTGCTTTCTGTTTCTCTAGTTTTGCTATTGTAGTGTATGTTCTTGAGATTCATTCATGCTGTTGTGTGTTTCAGTAATTCATTTCTTTTTCTTGCTAAAGAATTACTGCTGAATGCCACTGTATGGATGGACCATGGTTTGTCTATTCACCAGTGATGGGCATGTGAGCTATTTCCAGTGTTTCGCTGTTAGGAACAACACTGCCATGAATATGCATGCACAGATCTACGTGGAGAAACAGTTCCTTTTCTTTTGGGCAAATGCCCAGGGGTGGAAAGGATGCATCATGGGCTAACTCTTACCTTTGACATTGTAAGAAACCGCCTTCCCAAGTAGCTACACCATCTCCCAGTCTCCGCAGTGCTGAGGGCTCCTTGGTGCCTTGGGGCTCATGGATGAGTTGGAAATGTTCCCCTGTCTAGTTTCCAGAGCAGCATGTGTGGGGTGGTGGTATTTCTAAAATCCTTGCTAGAGCCCAGCCGGGCATGGCTCAGCGGTTGAGCATTGATCTAGGATCCAGGAGATCGGGGTTCGATTCCTGGTCAGGGCACGTGCCCGGATTGTGGGCTGCAGCCGGTCAATGACTCTCTCATCATTGATGTTTCTATCTCTCTCTCTTCCTCTCCCTTCCTCTCTCTGAAATCAATAAAAATATATTTAAAAAATAATAATAATAAAATAAAATAAAATAAAATCCTTGCTAGAACCCCTTTCGGGCCATCTGGGCTGGGCTTCTCTCTTTTTAAAAAAATTTTTTTTAAAATGTGTCTTTATTGATTTCAGAGAGAGGAAGGGAGAGGGAGGGAGAGAGAGATAGAAACATCAATGATGAGAGACAGAGATCAGCTGCCTCCCACACACCCTCTACTGGGGATCAAGCCCACAGCCCTGGCATGTGCCCTGCCGGGGAATTGGAACTGAGATCTCCTGGGTCATAGGTTGATGCTCAACCACTGAGCCATGCTTGGCCGGGCTTCTCTTTGATGGAACATTTTCTCTTTCTTCATGAGTCAGTTTGGCAGTTTGTGTCTTTACAGGAAATAGTTGTCTTAATTTGTTGCCATGAAGTTGTTTTGAAATTCTTTTATCTTCTTTTGGTCTACAGTGATGGTCCCTTTTTTGTTCCTGATTTTGATAACTTGTGTCACACTTTTCTTTCTTGGTCAGTCTAACAAAAGTTTTAGCAATTGATTTCTTTTCAAAGAATAATTTTGGTTTTCTTTATTTTCCCATTCCTAATTTCTTTAATTCCTGCTTCTACTTTTATTGTTTCCTTCTGTCTTTGGGTTTTGGTTTGCTCGTCATTTTCTAGATTCTCAAGGTGGAAGCTTACCTTGTTGAGGTCTTTATTTAGTAAATATGTGATATTTACCCCGAGCACTGTGTTAACTGCATCCCTCACCTTTGGATGCGTCATGTCTTTATTTTACAATGTCCCTTGTGTTCCTTTCTGGGTTACTTGGAAATGTGTCATTCCATTTCCAAGCATTTGGGGATATTTTAGATTTCTCTCCATTGTTGATTTATACTTTTTAAAAATATATTTCTATTGATTTCAGAGAGAGGGGGAGAGAGAGATAGAGACATCAATGATGAGAGAGTCATTGATCGGCTGCCTCCTGCACGGCCCCTGCTAGGGATTGAGTCCACATCCTGGGCATGTGCCCTGACTGGGAATTGAACTGTGATCTCCTGGATCATAGGTTGATGCTCAACCTCTGAGCCATGCCGGCCAGTCTGATTTATAATTCAGTCCCTCTGTGTCTGGAGAACATACTCTGCCTGGTTGCAGTACTTTTAAGTGTATTTGGGTGCTCTCGTGTATAGTCTGTCCTGCACAGTGTCCCATGTGCACCTAAAAGAACGTGACTGTTATCGGGTTGAGGGTTCCATAAAGGTCACTTTGGTTCAGTCAGTGGATGCTGTAGTTCAGTTCTTCTATATCCTTGCTGATTTTCTGGCTATCAGTTGTTGAGAGTGAAGTGTGCAAACCTCCAATCATAATTGTTGAATTCTCTCTTTCTCCTTTGAGCACTGTTTCTGCTTTGTGTATTTTGGGACTCTGTTGCTAGATTTGTACATTTATAATTGTTACCTGTTCCCGGTGGGCTGCCCCTCTGTTCACATGAAACGTTCCTCGTCTTCATATCCATTTTATCTGACGTTAAGGTAGCCCCTCCAGTTCTCACAGTTTCGGTTTACAGGGCATGTCTTTTCCATCTATTTTCATCCTCTGTGTCTTTGGATGTTAAGCAGTGACATGTGTCCTCAGTGCATCATATCAGGAGGCCTGTGAAGTCAGTCTGTCCCATCTCTGGTGGTGTGAGCTAGAGACAGAGAGGGAGAGAACAGCCTTTGATCCAGTATCCCACCTGTTTAGTCTAAGGCAGGGTTTGACTGGGTGCTATGGGAGGGGCTCCCCAGGCACCAAACAGAGGCCAGGAGGTGCGATGTGGGGCTGGTTCTGTGGTTTCTGAGTGGGATGGCTGCTCAGAGCCTGGCATTTGTCACAGTGGAGACTCACAGTGATACAGGAGCCTTGCAGACCTGGTGCTCTGCAGTGAGCAAGCTCCCAGGCTATGGCTCCCAAGCTGTCTCTGCTTCCCTGGGGAGAGGCTGTTGTGGGGTGGGTCCTGGGGACCGAGGATGGACAGCACAGACTGGGTGGTACTGTCCTCAGTGTGGTCACTGTGGAGTCCTCCCACAACCCCTACCCTCTGGCCCCGGTGGACTGGATCAATAGGAGGGTTCACAGCTGGCTGAAGGGGAGGCTAGGAGCCCCTCACAGCTTGTCCTCACTCACTGGGTCTTTTTTGTTTTGTTTATCCTCACCTGAGGATATTTTTCCATTGCTTTTTAGAGAGAGTGGAAGGGAGAGAGGGAAGGAGGGAGAGAGAGATGTGAGAGGTACACATCGATTGGTTGCCTCCTGCACACGCCCCGACCAGGGCCAGGGATCAAACCTGCAACCCTTCAGTGTGCAGGCCGACGCTCTAACCACTGAGACACTGGCCAGGGCTCACTGGGCCTTCTTGCCCCTTGAGCAGGCAGGTAGGCCAGAGTGGGCGAGTCACTCGTGGCAGAATTTACAGGTCTCCCCATAGCCACTGCCTCCTAGGGCTCCTGCTATTCCCTTGACCTTGACATCCTGCCCCCACACATTCAGCCCAGCTCAGATGTCCCTGCCAGTCCTTTCCTGACCCTCACTCCCCTTCACAGCCCTGTATTCTTCTCCTTTCTACTCCACTGTCAGGCTGTCTGTACCCTTGACCTGTTTCTGCCTTCCTCCAAGAAGGTGGGGCCCCAGTGCCCAAAGCCTGAGCACGGGGGAGGCATGTGTAGAGCAAGTGAGCAAGTAAGAGAGTGAGTGTGTGTGTGCAAAACTGAGTAGGTGGCCAAGTGAATGGATGGATGAACACAGGGAGCTGGCAGAAGGCATTAAGTCAACTGCCGTGGGGGACATGATTTCACTTCTGGCCTCATGTTGCTCCTGGCCCATCAAATGGCTCTCTTGCTCTACAATGCCTTCCTTCTGGAAGCATCTGCCATCAGGATGTTCTGGGCACAGTGTCTGTTGCGGGAGCCAGCTGGCAGAGGAGTAGCTGCTGCACCTCAGTGGGGAAGTCTCTGGTGGGGACATTTGCCTTACACATCCCCACCCCTCCTTTCTACAGCCCCAGGCTTGGGCGATGGTGTTAGGTGGGGCCACACAGAGGGTAATCAGGTCTTCTCTTCACTCCAGGTTTGTGCTGGCCGTGGGCAGTGCTGTCTTTGATGCCATGTTCAACGGGGGCATGGCTACTACGTCCACCGAGATTGAACTGCCCGACGTGGAGCCAGCTGCCTTCCTGGCACTACTCAAGTAAGACTTCCTGGTGCCTCTAGACTGAGGGGATGGAATGGATGGCCTGTTGGTTTAAAAACGTCAGAAAACAGGCAGGACTGAGGGAGAAAATAAAGATCCTGGTGACATTGTCTCCAAAGCCCTGGCTCCCTGGAATTTTCTAAAAACTTGCCTCCACAGTGAGGGGTGGCTCTGGAGGCCCCCACCCTGTTTTAATTTTTGTATTTTGAAATTGATATTTAATTCATATATCATATAGTTCACTTATCTGAAGTGTGCACTTCAGTGGTTTGTTTGTTTTTAGTAATTTACAGATGTGTGCAACCACCACCTGTATCTAGTTCCAGAACATTCCATCACCCCCCCAAAAAAACCATCCCCCATTACCAGTTACTCAGCACCTGGTAACCACGAACCCCTTTCTCTGTGGATTTGCCTGTTCTGGATGTTTCATATAAATGGAATCACACAGTCCTTGGCCTTTGTGTCTGGCTTCTCTCACTGAGTGTCCTGTTTTCGAGGTCCATCCGCATTTTATGTAGCATATATATGAGGCCCTCATTTTGATACTTTGTAGTTGACCGAGTTAGAAAGTAGCATAAGGTAAAGATTTTAAATGCCACCTGTATTTTTCCCTTTTAAGTTTCAGAATTTTTTCTCAAACTTCTGCTTGGGCCTGGGGGTTGCTGTACAGGAAATGGAGCCAACTGGGACAAGAGGGGAGGAGAGGAGGAGCTTAGGGCAGCGTAGGCTTCAGCATGGAGGCCATGGTTGTCCTGCGGAGTGAGCTGGAGAACGTCCATTCTCCTTGCCCAGCTGGCTCCCAGGAACGCTGGGTGTGAATTGTCATGGGTAACTTTAAAGATGATCCCAAACAGTTAAAACATTTCTTTAAATGCAGAGTTTATTTATTCCCTCCTAATTATAAAAATGGCACAGGCTCAAACACAAAAATATTAATACCAAGAAGCATAATGAATGAAGGGGAGCTAACCTGCCCCCCACTTCAGCCAGCCAGGACACCATCTCAGCTGGTCCCTCCCTGCTTGTGTCCTGTGTGTATGATGTGGTCGCAGACCCCCTTCCACCCGATTGTGCCCTCATCCCCTTTTCTCGCTGGCGTCCACATTCATTGTTAGGTCTAATTTTATTCTAGTTGGTTCTGTCTGTGGATGCCCCATAACCCTTGACCCCATCTAATATTGATGAATCCTGTGGACCTTCCCCAGCACCTTCGCAGTCACAGTGGCACTCTTGAGGGAAAGCTCGTTTATCTCTATGTACCTTCTCAGACGACTCCCCCAGCCCGGAGCCAGATGGTGGATAATTCTCGGCTAGGTGGCCGGTGGGCTCTGTCTCCACTAGTCACCTGAGCCTCTGATTGCAGAAGTAGCCAGGACAGTTTGTGAACTATAGGCAGGGCTGTGTGCTGATAAAATTTGATTTACAAGAACAGGTGACAAAACCACAAGTCGATATCACGTCACACTCACTAGGATGGCTGTTATTAAAAAAAAAGGGGGGGGGGAATGATGAGTTGGCGAGGACGTGGAGAAATTGGGGCCCTTGTGTACAGTGGGGAGCAGGCTGTGGGATGTAAAATGGGGCAGCCTCTGTAGAAAATAGTCTGGATGTTCCTCAGATAATCAAACATAAAGTCATCATATGACCCAGCAATTCCACTTCTGGGTACTTACTGGAGGCACACCTGTGTCACAGCAGCAGGATCCACAACAGCCAAAAAGTGGAACAGCCCGTGTCCGTGGGCAGATGGTGGATAAACACGATGTGGTCCATCTACACAATGGAATATTGTTTAGCCTTGAAAAGGAAGGATGTCCTGGCACCTGCTGTGATGTGAATTTTGAGGACATTATGCTCAGTGAAATAAGCCAGACACAGAACGACAAATACTGTGATTACGCTCACATGAGATTCCTAGAGAAGTCAGATCCACAGAGACAGAAAGTGGTTGGTGGGAGCCAGGGGCTAGGGGAGGGGAGTTAGTGTTTAATGGGGACAGAATGTCAGTTTGGAAGATGAGAAAGTTTTAGAGATAGATGGTGGTGGCTGCATAACTGTGAATGTGCTTAATGCCACTGAGCTTTGCACTTAAAAATAGTTAAGGTGGTAAAGTTTATGTTGTGTAGATTTTACTATACATTTTAAAAATAAGAGATATCCATAAAAAAAATCAAAAACAAAAACAGGTGACAGGCTGCAGCTTGCCAAACCCTGCCTTAGGGTTAAGTATTTCTGTCTTTCCATCTGTCTCTTTCTCTTGGTTTTGATAAATACTTCTCAGTTTCCCTCCTGAGAAGATTGTCACTATCACTGTTGGTGTGTGAGGGGCTCACTTGTCCTGCACATATTTGGGCTTGTCCCCTCTGCACGGCTGACCCCGGGGTGGGGCCACTCTGTGGGAAGCCATCCTGGGCGCTGTGGGGTATTGAGCAGCCTCCCTGGCCTCGTAGGTTGCAGGGTCTCTCTACCCAATGGACCCCAGCTGCTAGGCTCTGTTTGGGCTCCATTCTGCACTCCCACCCGCCATGTACAGGTTTCTGATGTCTCCATGGCCTCACCATTTTTTTTTTTGTCGACTCCAACTTCCAACCCACATTTAGAGTGGGGTCAGTGGCAGCTGGTCATAATGTCCATGAGTGTCTGATTTGTCCAGACCTCATTGAGCTTTGCCATCAGGCCTGTCAGTGCAGGTCGGGTGTTTTGGAAATGGACACCTGTGGTGTCCTTCAATCCCTGGTGCCCCCCACATGGCAAAAGAGCAGGCCTGTGATATAGAAGTGTTCTCCATGTTGGAATGTGGGTGGTTTAGCTTCTCACTGGTTTTCACTGATAATGGCCTTTGCTAGGTCATGTCTGCAGGTTGGAGGGCAACAGATGCTGGTTCTGGAAGGTCCCTCAGGGCTGGGCCAGTGGGATAGAGACTGGTGTAGGGTCTTGTCGGGGGTCTGATGGCACCAGGGTCCCTAGGGTCCTGCCTCATGGCCACCCGCATCCCACCCCAGGTTTCTCTACTCGGATGAGGTTCAGATAGGGCCTGAGACGGTCATGACCACACTGTACACCGCCAAGAAGTACGCGGTGCCTGCACTGGAGGCCCACTGTGTGGAGTTTCTGAAGAAGAACCTGCGGGCGGACAACGCCTTCATGCTGCTGACGCAGGTGCGGGAGCCTGGCTGGGGCACAGGTAGATGGGTGGGGGGAGGATTTCTGAGTTTTTGATACCCTGGGAGAGTGCCCCCCCATCCCTCTGCCCTGGTGGCCCCCTGAGTTTTCTAGGTGAGTTTCTAGGTGGCCTTGGCAGTTTGTTGGCAGGCTGGGCTCCCACATTTGTTTGGTTGCAGATTTCCTGCAGTTTTGCCCTTTTTTCAGGGGCTCAGGTGTGGGATGAAAGGTGTTCATGTTTCTTTGAGAAGGTCCCTTTCGGGCTCTGTGTGGTCAGCTGGCTGTGGTTCAGCTGGTGGGGCTGTAGGGGACCAGGAGACCTGGACATAGGAGGGCATGAAGGGTACCCTCTCCATGGTGGGTCACAAACAAGTTAGATTTGCAAACCTGTTGCTGAGGTGGCACCTGGGACCTGACCAGCCACTCTCTGAGTCACTCTGAACTGTCAGAGCCAAAACTGTTGTGTGTGGGCCAGTCCCAGATATCTGCTGAGATATGTGGCCATGTGGAGTGTCTTCGCCAGGCCCCAGGCAGAGAACGGTAAGAGAAGGGTTAATTTCCTGGGCAGGTGTATCTTTTTCCCTCCCTGGCCCCCTGATGGAGCAATCTCGGATGGGCAGGGGCACAGCGCTTTTGTGTCCCCCAGTCTTTGGTGGTCCTCTCCCCCAGGGCTCCTGTCTGACCTGAGGGGGAATGGGGCCTACCTCCCTGGAGGTCAGCCCTGTCTGCTGCCCCTGCCTCTATCCCTGAACCACTAGGGGCCCAGCTTTAGAGGTGCCGGCGGAGCAGGGTCCTTCATTTGCTTGACTGTCCACACCAGGCAGTGGTTACTGCAAGTCTGTGAACTTGGAGAAAATCTCCTGGCCCCTGGGGCTTACATTGTGCAGGCACCCAGGCCCCAAGACTTGAAATTTGTGACAAGTTTTGAACCAGGGAATCTGTCTTGGGCCCTATGTCGGGGCTGGATGTTGACGCACTTCCCTTGTAGGCCCGGCTCTTTGACGAACCACAGCTTGCCAGCCTGTGCCTGGAGAACATCGACAAAAATACGGCCGATGCCATCACCGCAGAGGGCTTCACGGATATTGACTTGGGTATGCCTGTGGGGCACCTGGGGGAGGTCACCTGGGTTTCACTATCTTAAGGCGGGGTGGGCACACTCCTCCCGCAGAGGCCCAGGTAGTCCTTGTTTTCGGCTTTGCGGCTCCACTTTGCTGCCATCAGTGACAGGATGGTGAACGGGCATGGCCATGAGCTGGTGAAATCTCGTTCGCCAGCATAGACACAGGTTGTGCATGGTATGCCAACAACCCCTGGCTGACACCATGGTGTCCACGTTGATATGGCCCCCCTGTCCTCTGCAGACACACTGGTGGCTGTCCTGGAGAGGGACACGCTGGGCATCCGCGAGGTACGCCTCTTTAGTGCCGTTGTCCGCTGGTCTGAGGCTGAGTGTCAGCGTCAGCAGCTGCAGGTGACACCCGAGAACAAGCGGAAGGTCCTGGGCAAGGCACTGGCCCTCATCCGCTTCCCACTGATGACCATCGAGGAGTTTGCTGCAGGTAACAGTCGGGGACTGGGGGCTGCTCTGGAAGAGTGTGACCCCCAAGGACCCTATGTGTGACTCAGTTGCATGTCCCACCCAGTCTGGCACCAGCCATATGTTGGCCCAAGTGCCCCTCTGTGCTGATGACACTCTTCACGTTGATGGGAAGCTTGGACTGTGCACGAACATATAAACAGACAGACCCACAGATGACATCCGGCCATCCCACATCTCAATGTTTCCTTCCCTCTGTGTCTTGTGTCCACACACGTGTATGAGTGTATCGCCCACTGAGGGTCCCTGTCTTGGGCTCATGTCCTGGGGGCTGGGCTCCAGCTTCAGTGTCCTTGACAAGCCTGTGAAGGGGTGGGAAATGGCCAGGGTCATGGTGACCCTGCTGTAGTGCCTGGGGTCTGTGGCCCTGACCATGCCTTCTACCCCATGTGTATGCCCACATCTTGGGGCCATTTGGGCAGCTGACTTGGAATCCCATCCCCTGGAACTGTGCCTCCCTGTCACATCAATTTCATGGCTGGTGCCAGCCTCTGCCCTGGAGCCAAATAGGCCTGGAAGGTTCTGGATGGGGTCTGTGACAAAGCCCTGTGGCCAGTGCATATTGGCTGTCCTACACTGCGTCTGGTCCTGCCAGGCTCAGGGTTCTCTTAACAGCAGCAAACAAATAATTAAGTGTATTTCCCACACACTGGCTGGGAAGGAGGGCCTGTGTGTCCTCTGTGTTTGAGTTAGGCCTTCTGGCCCTGTCTGTGCAATGGGTGGGCCCCACGGGGCTTTGGCCCTTTGTCACTGTGTATTTTAGAGAATTCCCTGACTTATGTTCCACTGGAAAATACAAGAAAATAGAAGTTTGATTCCCCTGGCTCCATGTGGCATGGTTGAGGTCAGTTGTATTTTTCTTTCTGCATTTTCTATGCAGAGATTAAAAAAACAGTGGTCAACATTCTGCATTCAATTTTGTATCTTCCTTATTCACTGAACCCATAGAAGTGCCTTGTCCCCTGTTGTGAAGGTCTCTGTTGAAATGTTGGGCCGTGGGAGCTGTGGGCGATGCTGTGGCCAACCTTCTGCAGAAATGGGTTCCAAGTTAGTAAATATGTCAGTCTTGTAAAGCTCAAGGCCTGAGTCCTGCCTTCTGTCCTGGAGGTGGAATAGTGATGACCAGGGCATGTGTAAGGCTCCCAGGCCCGTTTCTGCCCCAGCCCCACCTGTCCTTGTTTGCATGTGGCCTCCACTGTCACTGTCTGGATCTCCCCTCCCTGGCTCCCAGCCTGACTTAGGCAGGTCCCGTCATCTCCCTGTCTGTGTCAGCGCTACCTAGCCAGGATCTCCCACCTCTTCTAGCTGGGAATCACCCCTCAGTCACTGATGACTCTGAGTGTGGACAGACAGGGTGCCACCTGCTCTGTCAACTAGGGGTGGACCTGAGGGATGGTCCCTGGTGCAGGCAGGAATACCTGGGGCCATGAGGGGCCATTTTGCCCAATAAGCCAGCTAATCAGAGCGTCAACCCCATGTCTGCATTGGACCCCTCCCAAAGTGCCAGGGCAGAATTGTCCTATCTCAGGGCTGCCCAGACCCCTAACGTTTTACAGAAAATCCAACATCACTTCTGAGAGATGCTGTGGACTTGAGATGCCCACACATTCCAGTGTCTTCTGTTTCCTGGGGGTTCACCCCAGCCTTCCCTACCCTGCCCTTCCTCAGCCTCAAGCCAGACTCCACCCCAGCCTGACCTACTGCTCCCTGTGCCTGCAGGGCCTGCGCAGTCGGGCATCCTCATGGACCGAGAGGTTGTCAGCCTCTTCCTGCATTTCACCGTCAATCCCAAGCCCCGTGTGGACTTCATTGACCGGCCGCGCTGCTGCCTCCGTGGGAAGGAGTGTAGCATCAACCGCTTCCAGCAGGTGGAAAGTCGCTGGGGCTACAGTGGCACAAGCGACCGCATCAGGTGGGTGTGGGGATGAGTTGGGCACTGGGGATGGGGTGTTGTGTAAGGATGTTGGGGATGAGGGAGCTGGGTTGCCAGGAGTGAGGTACAGGCAGTGAGCACAGCTGCTGGGGGCCCTGGGAAGGGACTTCCTGCTGACGAGTCAGCCCCATCACAGGAGGCCTCCAGACTCCAGCATGGGAGGTAGAAGCCCCTGCAGGGCCTCCAGCCCCTAGCATGGGAGTGGAAGCCCCTGCAGGGCTTCTGTGCCCGTGTATTCTCACCTGGTTGCAGGGTCATCCCGCGTTTAGCACCTGTTTCTCTGTCCGTCAGGTTCTCGGTCAACAAGCGCATCTTTGTGGTTGGCTTTGGACTATATGGCTCCATCCATGGGCCCACAGATTACCAAGTGAACATCCAGGTACCCACCCACCCTGACCCCTGCCTCCAGA